ACGAGAGTCCAACAATGTCGAGTTGGTACTTCGTGGCCTCATCAACTAATTCATATTCTTTTCCTCTGAAATCTTCGATTAGGTCGTAAAATCAGCATTAGGGTCATTTCAATGTAGCAACTGTCTAAGTTTGTCAGTCGAGCATTGAACGTTTTGTACCTAATGACCAATATTCGTTGCATTACGGCTACAGTCGAAGAAAAACATGTGTTCGCATCGCCTGCTCCGTCGGCGGTTTACTTCGGCAAACGGATAAGCGTTTTCAACAGAGAAACATTTATGGCCTGAGCAAATCAGACCTGGTCACGCATAACAAATTGTGCCATTGATCTGTTCAGGCCTTTCTGAGTGCCGTTATAGGAAGAAGAAAAATCGACCCTGAATCAATCATCTGCGATTATGATCCGGCCGTCAGAATATTACAGTCTAAATAACCCAGGCCCAGCGTCAGCCAGTCAACCAGACTCGATAACCGCTTGTCCTTTCGAGTTTTGGAGGTAGACTGGTCAACCAGCGTCTCCAACCCCCATGTTCCTGTACCGGGCTTTTGCAAAAGATAGCCCGACTCTGGAGCAGAGTCTGTCAAGGCACTTTGTCCAGGTTGTTCTTAGCCTTCTCTGAGGTCTTCTCCAGGTTGAACAAGTAGCTGCTGCTTCACGTTCTTCTGTAGAGGCATTCATAATAAATGTCCAAATATGGCACGATCTGGAGAAGCTGCGGTTGAACGGCAAGGGTCCCGGATATCTGGATTGCGGATCGTGTTGAGAAGCACGAGACCAATGGTTCGTGTCAGAATGCTCATTTCAACATCGTGTATCCGATATAGAAGTTTTTCAATCATGTCGTAATGGATCACTGAGATTAATATCAACTTGAACGAACACTAACAACCTGGTCTTCATGCTTGGCTCCGTTATTGTACCAACTGCTAGAGCTGTAGAACCCTGCTGGTCATTCCAATTTTGCCCGCCGGCCGGCCGGTCAGTCTCCTTATCCCATTTTCCATCATCAGTACAGACGATCTCGTGGTTCGTGAACTTCTACACCAGTTCCACTGCTTCCATACATGATAAACTAATGGAAAGTTGACTTCGTGAACTTGGTTCGTTTATGGCAATTTTCTTGCAATCGATATACCCCTGGGAGGGTCAGTCTAACCTCATGCGTAATTTCAGGCAAATTGTAAGCATGATTGCGGATGGAATGAACCGCTCAAGGACTTTATCCCGTGTCCGACCTGTTCTCGTCATGCGCGAGAAAATCAACGCCCTCCAACCTGCGTTTTTAGTAAGTAACTGTTGAGCAGTCCATTGAAAGTGTCAGCTCTCGTAAATTATTACCAATATTTCTCCAACTTTCAACCAGCCCATGGAAAAGACGAAAACAATACAAAAGGCATGAAAAGAAAAATTAGTGAAATATAAAATTAGAAGTATCTTAAAAAATTAGAAATGAAAAATAAACAAAATGAAGAAATATAAGAAATAAGAAAAGCAGGAAATGCTATTTCTGGAAGTAGATTCATATGAGAGGCAGAAAAAATGTAGAGGCAGAGGACGTAGTCTGCAAAATCTCAGAACCAATTTTTCGCATACGTGCTAGTAAGTGCACATGAACTGCTTATGGTGCACTTTGGGTTAGGTCTGCCTGAATAGCCTTTCAGTCATGAGACGAAGCACAGATGCCATGTTGAAGCATTTCAGTCGCGTGCTACCATCGAATGGCATGTCACATATGCAAGAAACCTTGCTGCTGAAGCGCATCTGATGCGTAACATATCTGCACATTCGGTAGTGGTTGTGAGCATCACCTTGTCTCTGGAAGAAGCTTGCTCCGCAGCTTGTTGGGATGAAGATTAGTGGTTGTATGTCACATTGCTGTAGACGGTTTCTTTTACCAATACGTTCAAATAACGGAGCACTTTTGTTCGTAGCTAGTAAGGTTAAGGCATCACGGTTCTTTACACTGAATGAGGTAAAGACAAAGCTGCTCTAGACGAGGGACTGGTCCTCCCTCGACGCAGTTACAGATCCCTTATAGCAAAGGGATTGTAATACCGTGAATGAAGGAACGTTCTTTTTATGCAAATGCTCAAGGCGATGATCTCGACATGTAGAGTGGCACTGAAAGATAGCGTAAAATCGGTTTATTTCAACGCGATGCGTAGCAGCGGATCTTTTGGATGAGAGACCACTACGGACGTCTCAGCTCGCACCTTACAGTCCTTAAGACTCCTTAACGAACCTGTGAACTGCTAATTGGATTCCTTCTATGTGGTGCAGACGAATTACTACTTTGCACTGTAACAGGCGCACGACGCATTTTTTAATTTGCCCTTTGCTCATGATGAATTTGTTGCATCCTACCAAAACAATAATCTTGCAAACACACGAATGGCAAAAAGCGGCAAGCAAAGTAAATAGTTGCTCTACTTGTTCATTTCGGAATCTACACATTGGTTATATGTGGTTGTAGGACTTTGCCGACAAAAAAGCCAACTGCGAAGTGGAGGAGGAGTTCGAGCTTATGGGATGTTTTCGAAGTCAGGGAAAACTCACTGCCTCATTGTCGACCAATGGCCAGGTGTTCGAACATGGCGGAACGCTGCTGGCGAAGATCGAAATGCAGAACCGTCACTGGCGAAGGCGTCGCAAGGTGGCTCGTTTCTCGCTCATTCAAAACGTGCTCTTCCATTCTCACACCCTCTTCAACGCGTTACCTGAGAATCGAAGCACTCAACGCGAGATCGAGATGTTCAAGTTGAATATCCCTCGCCGCGGCCAATCCATTACGGAGAACGTCAAGATCAAACTGGCCCGAAACTTAGCACCCACTAGCAAGTCCCCTGCCATGATCACCGTCAGCTATATTCTGAAGCTGGACCTGGGAAATCTTTGCGAACTCGTCTTGCCCATCGCTGTCGTGTCGGATGACGGTACCAAGAAAAGCAACTGACCACGTTCGCCCGAAGTTGTTACCGCCCTGCAGTATCAAGCGCAAGTTCGTTGTTTATATGTTCGTTGCTATTTGTACATTTTACAGTATTTTTATAACTTGTACAAAATCAGTGCATTATCGCCAGCTATATTCGTCAGTGATCGATCTTACTGTCAATAAAACTTTAACTGCATATCGGATTCCTACTGAAAACATTTGTTGCAAAATATGTTGAAAACTTCGGTATTTACCTTTAACTTTTTGCTTGGTAACGAGGGAGCAGTAATCCATTCGATAATTGGTTATTATTATTATTAAAGTCATAATTCACACACAAAAGACCAATTATTCACTTTGCTACTGTGCAACCTGCCAAAAAATGGATAGGAAAATTGTGTCCGGTGAACAGCGCGGGGGGACAGCATCAAAAGTAATGCAATGAGCATGCCAGAGCCTGTGAAACTTGCAGCCATGCTCTCTGATAGGATTCACGGTTAAAATTCATTGTGACTCCCTGATGCTTCTCCAAAGATCTCAGTACAACGTGTCCGGCAAACTATCAATTTAAAAATATACGGTGACCCTCGAGGTGGTAGCCAGAAACGGTCGATCAGCAGCGTAAATGTTCAATCGATTTACTAACCTATAGCGGCAGAAATAGGCTCGACATTTGCAGTTCGTTTCGAGCCTTGAT